TATATTTCTGACTGAGACAAGCCAAGTGAAGTCATTAGCCTTTAGATCAGTGGTTCTCAACCTTTCTAATGCCGCAACCCTTTAATACAGTTCCTCATGTCGTGGTGACCCCCAGCCATAAAATTAATTTTGCTGCTGCTGTTAATGAATCGTAATGTAAATGTCTGTGTTTTCCGATGGCCTTAGGCTCTACGGCAGCGGGTCTCAATTTGTGTGTCTAGACCCACAGGTTGAGAACTGCTAGCAGGGTCGCCTAAGGCCATCGGAAAACACAGGTATTTACATTACGATTCATTAACAGTAGCAAAATTAAAGTTATGAAGTAGCAACGAAAATAATTTTATGGTTGGGGGTTACCACAACATGAGGAACTGTATTAAAGGGTTGAGGCATTAGAAAGGTTGAGAGCCACTACTTAAGCAAACAAACAAATCAAAATTTATGAATTTTCCAAATGCTGCTGCCTCTTGTGGGAGCCAGTCAGCATGAGTTTTGTACAAATCATCATTGTAGATACATAATATGCACAACCATGGAGAAGAGGTATCTGGAATACTGCTTCTGAGTTAATAACAGAGGATTCTGTTGCTATCTTTTCCCGCTATGTTCTATGTATTTCTTGAAGATTCTTGGACCCTTATCCTTTGCTGATTTGATAATATGTGAGGTCATGTCTCAGTCCTATGATATGATTTTCTCTGGAGCAGATGTTCAGCTTAATTGAATGTGAGGTAATACAGTTTGAAAATCAATCAAAGTTTAGCTAGATTGAATTGAATTTCCTCATTTAGTATTAATTTATTGTACTGGGAATTTTTGCTTGTTTTTTTTTATCACAAAAACTCAGATGGTGAACGCTGCGTTAAAATAATGAGAAATTTCTGTGAAAGTAAGGTATTCCGCTAAAATCTCCTTCACAAGGAAGAAGATAAGTTAGAGAAAATGTATTATTGTTATAATATATGATGCTACCATTGCTTTTCAGTGGACATTTATCATTTTAGTCAGTGTGGCAATGAAATTTGCTTGGACACAGAGCTAAGTTAGGATAATAAAGATTGGATAGATTGGATGATCCGTTCAATTTTTATAGGAAGAAATGTCTCAATTTTTGCTGTTGCAGGCCCACTGCAAGATGAAGAAATAAACTGAGCACACATAGAAAAGGACAGGATAGATGAAGATTAGATGTCTTTTATTGTTGACATTTGGATTCCCAAGCTCACACAGAATTGATTTCATAAATGTTCTTTTGCTTTATCTTGCTTTTCTAATTGATTCAATTGTGTAGGCTTGTACTGTCAAACCCTTAATTTAATCACAAATGGAACTAAAAAAATACTAATCATTTTCTAATGCAATTAGAAAAGATACTGGAAACTTTGAAATTAGAACACTAAAAGCTAGCAAAACAGCTTAATTGTCAGACTGGAACTGGACTCTTCCATTCTAAAATACATACAAACTCTTATTTACTCATTGAAAACTTTTGACCCAGAATTAATAACTGCCCAGAAAGAAATACCCTGCTGTAAAGAGATATGCTTTTTTTTTGTTTGCTTTGTTTTATTGTTGATATAATTTTTTAAAGCAGGGGAAAAAATCTATTCTTTCCAAAACACACTTTGGATAATTCTAAGAGAATCATATAATTCGTCAAGGACCAAAATGACCCAAGAACAAATGACATCAGGATTACCCGAGGGACAAATCTGACCCCTTTGCATGCTCCTCTGAGCTGTGGCCATGCCTTTCCCACAGTATTTTTTTCCTCACCGTGCGATGCTCAAGGGGTGTGGGTGTGATGTAAGGCGAGGGGCCACAGGAAGTGCTGTGCTTCCACTGGTGACCAGATGGACGGATTGGCGTAAATCACCACAAAACGGTGAGAACTCTATCCAAATCCCTTTCTACTCTGCCAATTAAAGAGGTGTTTAAAACAAACAAAACTCAAGAAGTTACATCAAAATGGGTGAATATAATGTAGATGATGATTTAGTGTGGGCAAACAGATCAGACATTTCATAAATGTATAAAAATCAAGCCGGATTTAACTAAGGCACACTATAGTTTGTAGGAAACATGCACTGATTTTTTACATGGTCACTCTGGGCTCCATCCTAACGCACAGGGACAGGGAGAGCTTTGAGAAGGCTTCACCTGGGACTACAAAATGCTTAGCGAGGAGCAACAGTCTTCTAAGAGAATCCTGCCAACGAGAGATGGCTCAGGGGGAAAAGGCTGAAGGGCCACTAGTAATGGTCTTCAAATATGAACGGGGATGCAGCCAAAGCTCTCATCTGCTATGTTTTTACTTATTCTATGTAGTCTTTGGATCTTCCTTAATGTAGGGACAAGTGATAAAGTATTTTAAAGTTTTATAATGTCTGCAGTGTGTTTTGACATGGTTCATCCATAAGAATGAATATTTACAGAGAGGGAAAGAACATACGGAAATGTTAACAACTGAAAAAAAATGCTGACAATTGATGCCTGTGACAGAAAGGTCTATGGATGTTCATTAGAATCTTTCCTTTCTGAAGCTTCACAGAAAGAAAGAGGAGTGGCTACATGTATTCAATGAAAAGAGAGTGGGAGATGGAGAGCCAGCAGGTTCAGAGGAAGAAGCCAGGGGTCAGTCTTGGGCCCAGAGCCAAGGATGCCTGAGGGGTCCTGAGCTCATAATAGGGCGTACTTGTGAGGTGGTTGAACCAAAAAGATAAAACACAAAACAAAAGCCCTCCCGTAATGATTTTCTTTAGAATTTGCCAAACAAGGTTCTGTGGGAATAAAGACATTCTGTAGTTAAAAACAAGAGCTGTGTGCCACCGCTTATCCTAGAGGAGTTGATTAGCGCAGTTAGCAGGATAGCCAGGAGGAATCTGTTCCATGGAGCTGGAAAAAATATTTGGAGTTTTTAACGGAATGGAAATTTCAGATGCCCCAACAGTGAACAGAAACAACCTTAAGAAGAATGAATAACAAATGTCTCCAGAGTCCAGCATCCTAGGTGATGGAGATGCGGGAACGCAGTCCATGTTCAATACAGAGCCCCAGGGGTTGTCCCAGGTGCAGGCGTCCGAGCCGTTCCGAGGTCATTCTCAGTCCCAGCGCGCATCTCGCCGCACTTGCTGTGTGTGGTCCTGTGGGGGCTCTTGTTCCTGCTTCTCTGGATCTAAAAACAAAGCTAACACATCTCTGCCTGTCTCTCAAAAATAAAAGGGCAGTGATTTTTGCTGACCAGAGCACAGCCATACGGAGAGAGGTAGCAGCATTTGGATCCCATGAGACAACGTGGACGAGAGCAAAGTCAGGGTTGGGCTGGGTCAATGCAGAATGCCACCGAGCCCAGATGGTCAGCCCAGATGGTCGGCCCTTGCTTAGTTTGGATCAGTGGTCGCCAAACCTCGGCTCGAGAGCAACATGCGACTCTTCGGCCCCTTGAGTGTTCTAACGCCACTTGTTCAAAATAGACTCACCCAGGCCGGAAACTGACTTCTGCGCATAGGCCACGAAGTTTCAGTCGCACTGTATGTCCATGCCCACACGTGGTATTTTGTGGAAGAGCCATGCTCCAGGGGCCAAAGAGCCGCATGTGGCTCCTGAGCCGCGGTTTGCCGACCCCTGGTCTGGACAAAGAATGATTTCATGCTCTTAGGCTCCTGTGGCCACCACGAATGGCTTTACTACGTTATGTACAATGAAACAGAAACCAGAGTGGTTTAGTTCTCCTTTAATCAGTACTACATTAAAATGCACTAGTACATTCGGTTCTACTTCCCTCCACCAAGGGCCATTTTACCATATTCAAAACTTGCCATATTCAATTCACTGGAAGTGTCATTACCACTGAGTCACAGGCACCGGGGCCTCGGCTGGTGGTGAATGAACCAGGGCAGGGAGACTACCCAGGGCTTCCACAGGCAGGAAGCAGATAACACAGTGGTTATTCTCCCCACGGGGATGGAGAACTTGGGCAGGGTGGAGGAAGGAAGTGTTTTGCTGCTGCTCCACGGTTACCTTGACAACCGTGGCACAATCATTGGGGCAGAAATTAGTTCAGGCCATCCTGTCATGCAGCAGAGGCGGGAGAGTGTGCAGGGAGAGGAAGCGGGCATGGCTGGGCCCAGACGCTCAGAGGGCCCACCAGGGAGGTCCCAAGGCAGTGACCCGGAGTCTGAGCTCCATGTGTCAGCAGCCAATTGTACTTTGGTTGTTTCTTTCTGCAATTTGGTGTCAGCAGCGACAGCCATGACTCCCCGCTCCCCACCCCAGTGAAGAACAAACACGGCACTAATCTGGCTCAGGGCTTCTGCAGACCATCCCTGGTCATTTATCCCCCTCCCCTTCCTCTCTTCTGGGAGAAACAAGGAACGGCGTGGTGATAAAACACATTCGGTTCAGGGTGAGAGGGTGCCTGGAAACCAGGCTCTTCGCTGTCGGTAAGTGTGCAGACCCTGCTGGGGGTGTCCCTGATACATTGCCTGTTGGGGAGAAGGTATGGATGCTGCTCGGGCCTCTGGTCTCCAGCCCCACAGCCCTGTGCACAGTCAGACCACAGGAGTTCGGTGGGGATTTGCAGGGACCCTAATGGGAGGAAGGCTTGTTTCAGACTCACAGAGCATCCAGAGATCCGAATGCACCCGGGACTTAGAAAACACGCACAGGAAGGTCGGACAAGACCGAGGCAGGAAAGCACACAGTGTCTCAGTCTCACAGCCCGGATCCGCCCAGCGTGGGCGCAGAGGCTTCCTGCTGATCGGGGGTGCTGGGGGTCCTTCTCTCGCGCCTTAGGCAGCCAGGTCCACAGGGCGAGGCTAGCAGCACTCAGGGTGAAGACGCAGGAAGTGAGGGGCATGTCTCTCGGGAGGAGTCACCCCGGTTTCCGCCTCGCCGGCTCCTGGAAGTCCGAGCGCCATCTCAGCCGAAGTCTCCTGCCGCCCACTTGGCCTCCAGGAGCGAGCAGCTTCCCTCTTTCTTGCGCAGGGGAGGGCGGGGCGCTAGTGACACATCCGGCTGGTCATCTCCTTCTGGAAAGCAGGGAGAAGCACGGTTAGGGAAGTGAGAGCAGAGCAGTGGCTGGTGGAAGGGTCTGACATGCCCTCGTGACCTCTGGAGCCTTTGAGCAAGACGCTGCAAGCATGGCCAAGGAATAAATAAGGCTTGGCTTGCAGATGTCTTCTGTTTCGTGTTGTTGTTTTTTTTTTTTTTGTTTGTTTGTTTTGTTTTGTTTTTAAATCAAAGCATTTTAAAAAAAATATTATTCTGTCATCACTAAGGCTCATGTCAAGGATTTCCTTTTTTTTTTTTTTTAAATATATTTTATCAATTTTTTAAAGAGAGGAAGGGGGAGGGATAGTTAGAAGCATCAATCAGCTGCCTTCTGCACACCCCCTCCTGGGGATGTGCCAGCAACCAAGGTACATGCCCTTGACCAGAATCGAATTTCGGACCCTTGAGTCCACAGGTCAGCGCTCTATCCACTGAGCTAAACCAGTTAGGGCTAAATCAAAGCATTTTTAAAAACACAGCTAACTTGCTGACAATCCAGGTTGCCTGCGTTTTCTGAAATATTGCAAGACCGTTTACCTCCAGCTGCCCCTTCAGAGGCAGGACATGCTTTCCAGGTTACCCCAGACCCTGCCACTCCCAGGTGTCTCACCATCAGGCACCGAGTATCACTTACAGATGGAGAGGGTCTTGGGTTTTTACTGCCGTGTTTCTTGGAGAACAACTTCTCTTTACCCACGTTTCCATCAGAGATGAAAAAAAGGAAGGACAGTCTAAGTTGGCACAAGTCAAGAAAAGCAAGAGGGAAGACATTTCTTTCTTTCTTTCTTTTTTAAAAACAAATATATTTTATTGATTTTTTACAGAGAGGAGGAGAGAGGGATAGAGAGCTAGAAACGTCGATGAGAAAGAAACATCGACCAGCTGCCTCTTGCACACCCCCTACCGGGGATGTGCCCGCAACCAATGTACATGCCCTTGACCGGAATCCAACCTGGGACCTTTCAGTCCGCAGACCGACGCTCTACCACTGAGCCAAACCGGTTTCGGCGGGAAGACATTTCTTAATGGAAATGAAAACTATACCGATGGATCTGACCTTCAACCAACCACCTTGCCTTTCACCCACCTACCACCCGGCTGGCTCTCGTGGACATGTCCAGGGACTAAAGGTGCCAGCCGTTCTCATTCTCTGGGCCTCTGCACAGGCTGAGCCTCTTATCTGTGCCTGCTCCTACCACATCCTGCCCTCTTTCCTTGGCTAATTGACATAATTCTTGCCAATCAGCAAGAGAAACTCACTGCCTGGCACACCTTCCTACACTCCCCCTGACCTGCTGTGAAGCTAGCCACTCCCTCCGCTTGTGCCCCCCTGGAATCCTGCATGCACTGAGCTGCCACATACTTGTGTGTGTGCATGGACTAGGGGCTTTCCCCACTGTGAGCGGCTGAGTGTCAGGAAAAGAAAATCTCATTTGATTGCATGTGTGCTTCCACCATGTATTCCTCACTCTGCACCGTGCCAGGCACACACACACTGTCCTCACCTAGGGCCTGGAAGCATTTGGCAAGACTCGTTCAATGTCATTTCTAGCAGATGGAGGAGCTGCATCCCAGTCCCACCTGCTGCAGAACTGATGCCAGATGCTACACCCCTTGCACTCAGGCCCTGAATCACCCCAGCCTATAAAACAGGAGTAAAAGGAGTTTGAGCATGGGTGTGTCCAGGTGCTCAGAGACCTTTGGAAAACATAACAATGTGTTGGTTAAAGAAATAACAGGACACACTAGTACATAGAAGAATTTAGCATCCCTACAAGATTATTAAATGCATGCAAGTCCGTACAGATACATAAATTGAGAAACTAAATGAGCATCTACTTAGGCCTGTTTCTTGTACTGTGTAACAGGTGTGTGGAAGATGAGGTTGCTTTGCGAGGAGCTATGGTCTAGTGGGAGAAAGAGCTATAGATCACATGCTAAATTATAATAACCTTCCCTGGCGGTGTGGCTCAGTTGGTTGGAGCATTGTCCCGTACACTGAAAGGTTGTGGGTTTAATTCCAGGTCAGGGCACATACCCAGGTGTTTGAGAGTTCTTGCAGCACTGGGTTGAAAATCACTGCACTACATCACATATTTCAGTTACCTTGTTTTTACATGAAACAGACAAATAAATGATGTCTCTGGGTGTCGGTTATTGTGCTAGCAAGCAACTTTAACAAGTTGACATTAAAAACTATAAAATAAACTTCAAAACCAATGACAAAATAATGGAATCATAGACTCTGTTAAAGCTGGGAGAACACAGATATCATCCAGTCCAACCTCTTTATTTTAGAGACGTGAAAACTCAGACCAAGAGAGCCAGCGATCTGCCTGAGACTGCACAGCTAAAAGGTGGCAAAGACAGGACCCCTCGTCTTGAACTCTATCCTCAGGCTGATTTGAGAGATGCGAGAGTGGGAACAAGTCTTTCTTAGAGCTGACTCAGTGAGCGTCAAGTACAGTCCTTCCCCTGAGAGGCTCCCCTTCACCTGCACTCCTTCAACGGCTGCCCACAGTCTTCAAACCGAGTCCCACCCTTAGCATGCAGTGTTCTTCTCATCTGGACTCTTCTCAGCTACTCAGCCTCAAGTCCTAGCTCTCCCCAACTCTTCCTTCCTGCTAAACTCACAGCAATCCCTGTATAAATGCTTGAATTTGCTCCTTGCTTCCCACAACTCCTCTCCCAACTCTATGTCCTTTAAGGCTCTTACTTAGAGCTGACTCCTCGACAACCTCTCTTAGATACCCCTCCCACCACCACCTCCCCACCACATCCCCATGATGGCAGGCCTTCCTCTTCTGGTTTCCCTGCGATCCTTGATCACTTCCTAGTTCCCGCACGAGGTTGCTCTGGGGGAGATGAACCACATTTGTTCCTGTTTGGATCTCCGTGCAAAAGCTCTGACACATACAGGGGCTTAAAAACCTTTGTTAACGAGACCAATTCCAACGGAGAACAAAATGACTAGGTCTACAGACCCAGTGAGATGAGAGGTGGAGGGAAATAGGCACTGAGGATCTACTATGTGTGCTTCTTTCTCGAGACTCTGTGAACTACTCTTTGCTTTTTCTGATTTGCAGAGGAGGACACAGAGGCTCAGAGAATTGAAGGAACTTGCCCAACCTCACACAGCTAGCAAGTGAAAGAATAAGGGTTAGTACTCGTGTTTGGTTGACCAGAGAACAAAAATAAACAAAAGACATACTGTTTCCATTACTCTGCGGGAGGCTGGAATAAAAGAAAAAGAGTGAGGGAAGCCCTTTGTTTTTCTAGTGTTTTAACACATATTAGGACTAGCGGTGCTACAGCAGCATTTTACAGCCCATTTCTTTTCTTTTTTCTTTTTCTTTATTTTAAATTCACCAACTTTCTGCTAATTCTGAGAAATGAGGAGGAGAAAGGAGAAATATTGGAAATAAAGAAATGCTGGAAGGGGGAGGGGTGGAAGGTTCAGGAGAATGAGAGCCCTGCTGAACTTCTGTGAAAAAGAAGTTTATGTAAATGAGATTCTCCCCCAGCAGCTACCAGGAGAAAAATCAATGGCTTAAAACTGGGCAGTTTGAGGCACTCAACCTAATGGAAGGTTGGCCCTAAGAGGGAAGTGAATTGCCTCTCAGCTCACCTCATGTTAGCTGAGTGTCAGCACACACACATAAACACACACTTTCTCCAGGAAGGGCTCTTTGTCAACACGTTTTAAAGGTAATACGTGAAGGTAACTGCTGCTGAAGAGACAAAAGAAAAACGGTGAGTCACCAGAAAGGGAGGTCAGGCTGGTGCTCTTTTTTTGTTTTTTAAATATATTTTATTGATTTTTTACAGAGAGGAAGAGAGAGGGATAGAGAGCTAGAAATGTCTTGTACACCCCCCACCGGGGATGTGCCCCGCAACCAATGTACATGCCCTTGACCGGAATCGAACCTGGGACCTTTCAGTCCACAGACCTACACTCTACCACTGAGCCAAAGCGGTTTCAGCAGGCCAGTGCTCTTTTTATAAAGTGCTTCCTTGCCCACTGACCAGCAGCTCAGCCTCAGACCAGAGCGTGGCCACGCCTTGCCTGGCATCAGCCACCAGTCTCCGCGCTGACAGAGACTTGGGAAGGTCCCATTGAAATCCTGTAAGAAACACTGGGACATTTGTGCTTGGGCTGAGTTTGGGGTGTAGGTAACACCAAAGCCCTATTATCAGGAAGGCTTTCATCCCTTGATAGCACAGTTAGGTCCTTTGTGTGTGTGTGTTGGGGAGGGGGAGAGGGGGGGAAGGCTCACAGGTCAGAAAGATTGTTTTCTGTGCACCTTCCATCCTATAAATTCCATTTCTTAAGAGACTTTAATACCACCAATTTGTATCTGTATTCTCCATTGGTTTATTTTGTTATTAGCTACGATTTCCCTTCCCTAAGATTGAACATGTTGACATGAGAAATTCTATTTTTCTCAGGAGTCGCCCCCCCTTCCCTTTTACATCCAAACAACTGTGCTAGTGATGTCATTGCCAAGATTTGATCAGAACCAGCCAATCCCCTCACACTTCCGGGGTCTCAGCCCCTGCCCACACCCGTCTTCCTGAGGCCATATTCCACACTGGGGGCTGAGCAGGTATGAGGCTATTTCCTTACAGAGATCTAGAGATCTAACTCACTGGTGGCAAAAGCAAGTCCCTTTGAAACTGTCAGGTCAGTATGAATCACTCCAAGATATGCCTCAGTGGTATGTGGCTTGTTGTGAGCTAAAGGCCACTTTGGCTTCTGGCTGAAGAGGACCTTCTGCTCCTCCCTTCGCTTCCTAGAATAACTTGAATTAGGGGCCTTGTCCAATAGGAAGACATTATCAGTAATAATCTCTTCTAACCTATCTCTCTATAAGGCAGGACACACTTCTAATGACTAAATAGCTCTCTTCTTAGCATCCTACAATGACCCTCTAGAGCCCTACAGGTACCTTACCTCACCCCTAGCTCAGCATGTCTT